CCATCCAGAGTGGCTTTAGCACTTGTGAGGGTGAACTGATCTCAGAGAATCTTCAGGGACTCAGACTCTACCTGTATGACCTATGACCTCAAGGTTTAATTCTCAAAAGCCTCTAGTTTTTGTTTCTATTTACTTGACCATAAATTGAAAGTCTTCTTGAAGATTAGGCAGCATCTCCTCTTCTTGTTACGAAAGATGCAGCACTTATTTTTCTCTGTCCTACTCTTTTGCACCAATTACTTGAGAACAACGTTCACCAAACAAATTAATGAAGCAAATCCAAAATGCGTTAAAAATAAATGTAAGCTCCTAGAGGAAACAACAAATTATAAGATACAAAATTAGATCATTTACCAAGTGTGTAAAGAAAACACTAACAGCAGAGCCTGAAATATCCACTTGGACCATATGGAGCTTCCACTTTTGTTGGTCAAAAATAGCCAAACGTTGGCAACTCATACGAACGACATCCTGAAATAAGGTCAAAATAGCAGAAAAGCTGTAGAACCTACCAACTGTTCCCTAGCAGACACGCTACAGATCTTGAGCCTGTATTTTTAGAAACCAAAAGCATCCTGGTGGCAATATTTTTGGCAACTAGTAGCTGTGTTCATGAAAGATAGTTAAGATAAACTGAATGGTTATTTTAGTTAACCACTCCCAACTGTTGGCACTATGCAAGTACCAGAGAAATACTAGTAAAATATCTAACATTTGCAACACTTGGTCTCAAAACATCAAGCCTGGCACCCTATCGGCTTCATTCTTCTCAACACAGTCCAACAGGTGAACCGTGACCATTCGGGGTTTCTAGTTCACCTTATAGAAAATCAACCAAAGAAACAAAATCATAAAGCTAACGATGGTAACCCCGTTACAGGTGATAAATGGGAACATTTTACATACCTGAGCCTTTTATTATATACGTTATGTCATTTACACCCCACTACAACCTTATGGGTTGGCACTGCCCTCGCTTAACAGATAAAGAACTCAGGGCTCAAAAATTAACTTATCCAAAGTGACATGATTCATAAGTAGAAGAACTTAAACTCAAAACCAGTTCTGCCACATGCCGTGGAGCGGCTGGGCCCGTGAGCCGTGGCCGCTGAGCCTGCACGTCCGGAGCCTGTGCTCCGCAACGGGAGAGGCCACAACAGTGAGAGGCCTGCGTACCGCAAAAAAAAAAAAAAAAGTTCTGGTGGGTGCCAAAGTCTTATGATGTTTCTGCAACTAAGACCCTCTACCAGCATCACCATCCGAGGGTCCACGGTCTCTCAGATGCTCTGAGGAATGTTTTCAATGTTTTCAGCAGCTTATCAAGATTATTATCCTCCTTTTACAGATAAGGGAAATGAGGATCAAGGATTTACGTGGATTTTGCTCGAAAGCTTAATTAAGCCTCTATGTTTTTAGCATTTGGACCCAAGATCTTCCGTAACTTCTAAATTTACACTCGTCCCCTGCGCTATACCAAGTACTGAGCACCAAGTGACAGGGCCGGTAACGTGTAATGAAATGCACACAATTATTAAATTTGTTTAAGATTTGTAAGTATTCTACTTAGGCCGAAAAACAATTTCATTGCAAGAGACTTAGAAATGATCCCAGTAAAACCACCCAGAGATGCTGTCCTGTCATAATTCTCCCAGACAACTGGGACCACGACTCAAGATTCCCTCAGCCCCACACTGCCAACCACCGCAAAAATGAGCAAGTACTTGGAAATTACATAGCAGCCATTAAAAGGCACAATATGTGTCTTATATTATCACACAAAACACGTCTGTATAGTCTAAGAACTGTTAACTCCTCCAAAGTTAAGTGAGGGTTGTAACAGATTTAACAAATAACGTTGTTTGCCCTCACAAAATTTTAGAGGACATCTTTATATTGTTTCAGATAGCCTTTTTCTTTAACTTAAAAAACAAAAGCTATTTAATGAAGTTTAAACCAATGTGTAACTTTTAAATACTACACGTGGCTTTCCAGTTATATCAACGGAAAGAAGAAGATGCTGAAATAAGACTCTCACAATAGATTATGCTGACTTTTAAAACTTTAAAGAACAGTAATTTAAACCCACAAGTGATATAAATGTTGCCTTGCTTTTATGATTTTCAGATCATGACCACAGAACCCAAAATGTAGTAGATTTTATGTGCTGGCATTCAACAGCTATTCCCCAACTCCTGCTCTCCCTTCTATATCACAGAGGCTGGCAGGCTAAAGCAACATTTCTCAGGCCCCTTGCTAGGGGAGTTCTAAATTTGCTTTTGCTTCTTTCCCTAACCATATGCCTTTTATTTCTTTTTCCTGCTTTATTGCACTGGCTAGGACAATTCTGAATAGGAACGTTGAGTGACTAGCCTTGCTCCTAATGTCAGGCAAAAGCATTCAGTCTTTCACCAGTAATTGTAATATCAGCTGTAGGTTCTTCATAGACAGCTTTTATCAAGTTCAGGAAGCTCCCTTCTACTCCAACTTTTTTGAGAGTTTCCTTCTGTTCTTAGTTTTCTGAGTTTTTAATCATGACCGGATGATGAATACTGTTAAATGCTTTTTCTACATCTATTGAGTTGATCATAAGGGTTTTAAAAATTCTGTTGTTTAGTTTGTTGATATTGTGAATTATTCCTGCATTTCTGGAATAAATGGTCCTTGGGCATGATATATTACCCTTTCTATATAAACTGTATTTAATTTGTTAATATTTTGTGGAGAAATATCCGTTTTTTGTATCAGAGTAATACTGACCTCATAAAATAGTGTTCCTTTCCTTCTGTTTTCTGAAGGGTTTGTATATAATTGGTATTATTTCTTTCTTAATAGGTTGGCAGAATTCACCAATGAGACCATGTGGGCTCAGAGCTTTCTTTTGGGGACAATTTTTAACTACACATTCAATTTCTTTAATAAAGAGCTATACAAGTTACCCATTTCTTTTTTTTTTTTTTTAAGATTTTTTTGATGCGGACCATTTTTAAAGTCTTCATTGGATTTGTTACAATATTGCTTCTGTTTTATGTCTTGGCCTTTTGGCTTGCAAGGCACATGGGATCTTAGCTCTCCAACCAGGATCAAACCCGCACCCCCTACATTGGAAGGCAAAGTTCTTAGCCACTGGCCCGCCAGGGAAGTCCCTATCCGTTTCTTCTTGAGTGAGGTTTGGTAGGTTGTATCTTTGATGGAATTCATCCATTTAGCCAAGTTATCGTATGCATTAAGTGGCTCATAACATTTCCTTATCTTCCTATTAATATCTGTAGGATCTAGATTGATGGTCTCTCTTCTCTCTCTTTTTCCTGATCACTATGACTACAGGTTCGTCACTTTTATTGATCTCATCAAAGAAACAGCTTTTGGTTTCACTGATATTTCTCCTATTTTTTTTTTTCCTGTTTTTTATTTCATTGTTTTCTGCCCTTATCTTTATTATTTTCTTCCTCTGCTTGTTCTGGGTTTAATTTGCTCTTTGCCTTCTAGTGTCTTTTTTTTTTTTAATTTATTTTTTTGAAGTATAGTTGATTTACAATGTTGTGTTAATTTCTGCTGTACAGCAAAGTGATTCAGTTATAAATATATATATTCTTTTTCATATTCTTTTCCATGATGGTTTATTACAGAATATCGAATATAGTTCCCTGCCTTCTAATTTATTTTCTTTTCTAACATCTTTATTGGAGTATAATTGCTCTACAATGGTGTGTTAGTTTCTGCTGTATAATAAGGTGAGTCAGCTACACGTATCCACACGTCCCCATATCTCCTCCCTCTTGCGTGTCCCTCTAACCCTCCCTATCCCACCCTCTAGGTGGATATAAAGCACTGAGCTGATAAAGTAAAAGTTCACATCATTGTTTCAAAGCTTGTCCTCTAATGTAAGCCTTTAACACTATAAACTTCCCTTTGAAGCACTGCTTTAGGCACATCCCATAAATCTTGATACGTTTTATTTTCATTTTCATTCAAGATATTTTCTGATTTCCCTTGTGACTTCCCCTTTGACCCGTGGGATCTTTATAATGTGATGTTTAATTTCAAAATATCTGGTGATTTCCCAAACATCTGATACTGATTTCTAGCTTAATTCTGCTGTGGTCAAAGAATTCAGACATACTCCTGGAAAATTACCTGTAACATGAAAGTATGGGAATCAACATCAGTTTTTTGATAGGAAGGTACTGGAATGCTATGGCCAAGGTCAAGGTGAGGCAGGATGAGAGGTCGAGGCTTCTGGCGTGCCCCACACACAGATATCAAGAGTAATACGTTCTCTCTCAATACCAACTCAGAACCAAGACCTGTTATTCTTCCTCTACCCTTAATGCAAAAAAGGACAATTCCACAAACATCAAGTGATTTTTTTCACCCTATAAAGCAGGCAAGACAGACGGCAGAATTTTGTACAGAAGGAAAGTGAGGTTCCAAGCAGGACCTGCCTTCCTAGTACACCATCCTCGTTACTCTTGAGGCATTCCTCAAAGACAGGGAAATACAGGTCATTTAAACCCGTAAATAATTCAAAACCTCATTTGAGCCACTGTTGGAATCACCACTTCACTTCAGAGTGAGTTACAGTAACACCTGAGGAGGTTTAAGTTTTATCATCTTGGCTTCTCATACCCACTCGTTATAAACAAGATCCAAAAAATAATGAACTGGTTAAACCTCAGGAAACAGAAAGTAAATGGGCAAGATATATAGGGGGGGAAATGAGACCCCAGTTTAATGAGTCAAAAACTGCATATCCATACTTGTTCACGTAAAAATTAATAGGAAATGAATATATCAAATTATAGTTTTTCTCTTTCAACCTCTCACTGTTGATTAGGACCAAAAGCTCTAAAATATTATCTGCTGTTAATATTTATAGATTAAAATATATTGATATTTTGAAACACTAACATATTTTATCCTACTCCATTTCAAATTCAAATTCTAAACTATAATGTTATAGAAATTAAATGGCTTTAAGGGTAAAAGGCACACAGTCTTACCGTGTAACTGTTGACTTATGGGTTGCAGAAATGTCCCTCAGGTAGCATCACCACTTTGGCTCAGATATCAGTAGTAACAGCAATCAAAATTAAAACTAAGAAGAAAGAAAAAAAAAAAAAATTAAGTACCGGCAAGCAAAATGCATTCACGTCTCCAAGAAAGTCTTAAATTCAAATTTCACATTCCAATAATTTCGTCAAGGGAGCTCTAGTCCCAGAACTAGTTCTTTTTAAGTTAGTTTAAGCAGGGAGCTAATAAGGAATGTGAATTCCGGTATAATTCCCACTCTCTATCCTGGAATAAGCTCTGAAATTAACTTCAAGGTATCTAGTAAATAACAGCCTAAGGGAAGAAAAACAAAAAAGCCCAGTATACCACAGGTCTATTCAACTGAACTGCTTACACACATTTTAGGTTTGTGACCGCCCACAATTAATTGAATACAGATCATTTGCATAAGAACTCAAGTCAATAAAAATCTTGGCGATCACTTCACAAATATTTTAATAGTACATGTGGGGATAAAACAGTAATGACAACTTAAAACCGGCTGAATTGACCCTAGAAAGTGTTTCCAGGATAACTGATATTAACAGCAAGCCTACAGAGTTATCTGAAGATAAACACTGTTTGTGGTACCAAAAATATAGTACAGTTTCCTACCCAAATAGTTACCATTCAGTTAGGAGAATACATTTAAGAAACATGTAGAGAACAAGCATTCATTCGGCAGAACATTTCTAAGCATCTTGCGTAAGCTGGCCCGCCTTTAAACCCTGCAGACACAAAAAATCTAGAAACAATAAATGCTGGAGAGGGTGTGGAGAAAAGGGAACCCTCTTACACTGTTGGTGGGAATGTAAATTGATACAGCCACTGTGGAGAACAGTATGGAGGTTCCTTAAAAAGCTACAAATAGAACTACCATATGACCCAGCAATCCCACTACTGGGCATATACCCTGAGAAAACCATAATTCAAAAAGAGTCATGTACCAAAATGTTCATTGCAGCTCTATTTACAATAGCCCGGAGATGGAAACAACCTAAGTGTCCATCTTCGGATGAATGGATAAAGAAGATGTGGCACATATATACGATGGAATATTACTCAGCCATAAAAAGAGACGAAATTGAGCTATTTGTAATGAGGTGGATAGACCTAGAGTCTATCATACAGAGTGAAGTAAGTCAGAAAGAGAGAGACAAATACCGTATGCTAACACATATATATGGAATTTAAAAAAAAAAAATGTCATGAAAAACCTAGGGGTGAAACAGGAATAAAGACACAGACTTACTAGAGAATGGACTTGAGGCTATGGGGAGGGGGAAGGGTAAACGGTGACAAAGCGAGAAAGAGGCATGGACATATATACACTACCAAACGTAAGGTAGATAGCTAGTGGGAAGCAGCCGCATAGCACAGGGAGATCAGCTCGGTGCTTTGTGACCCCCTGGAGGGGTGGGATAGGGAGGGTGGGAGGGAGGGAGACGCAAGCGGGAAGAGATATGGGAATATATGTGTATATATAACTGATTCATTTTGTTGTGAAGCTGAAACTAACATACCATTGTAAAGCAATTATACTCCAATAAAGATGTTAAAAAAAAAAAAAATGACTGAGAAAACGCCTGCTCACGAAAGAACTGAGTCTTGCAAGGGTGACTGATGCGCGTAGATAATTATAATACAACACGGTAGATTCAGGAAAGAGCAGGGCAGCCCAGAAGTGGGCTGGGGTATAGCAAAAGCTTCGTGGGAGGTCAAGGAAGGGTGGGGGGAGGGGGAAAGGCCGTGCAGGCCCTGGAAAGGAGGGGGTGTGATCTCCGTAGGAAAGGAAAGCAACTTGAAGTCTAGAAGGGACTGTCTGGCTGTGCGTGAATTGTATGTGGGCCAGTGGATAACGAGAATGTCCACAGTTAAGACTGTCACCATCCTTTTGAAAGTGTGAAAAAAAGAATAGGAAGGTCATTCGATAATACTACACATGTCCTCCTAGTTTGCTCAGTTAAAATTAAAAGCAGCACATGATTTTCTCTCCCTTCCTTCGTAGCGGCTGGACAGCACTTGATGATGCAAAATGCAAAAGTGACTTTTTCCTGTCGTTTGCATAAGTGATCATCCTATTTCCAAATACAGAGAAGCATCCCTGGGTTTTAGATTATCCAGGCCAAATTTCACCCGAACCAGATCACCTTATTTGCATGATTTTGAAAGTAACCAGCACTATGTGACTATACAACTAACTGTACCTAAGGGCAATCCAAACGTGTGTGCCCTGGACGCCCCTTCACATTCGCAATCATGTGTTAACTCTTCCTTTGGGAAACACAACTATGAATTTTCCCATTTGTGCGAAAGGCTATGGAAGTAGAATTTTGTTACTAGTTACCACTTGGTGAATGCCTTACTGAGGACTAAGCAGAGCGCTGAGTCACCTATGACTAACTTAATCTTCACAAGGCAGGACGGAAAAATGTTGCCCGCCATCAAGCTAGCAGCCGCTGCAGCTGCCCTGATGGTGCGCCCTGAGGGGATTCAGGACGGAGAAAAATAGGATACTGGTCCTAGAGAGTTAAGATGCACATCTAAGGAAGAATTTCAAAGAGCCCAGACTCTTGCATCTTCCCATACATAGAAAAACACTAAAATCATTAACTTGAGATGTTTGGTTTTTGTGATCGGCAGTCATCTTTAGATGTTCCGCTACATGCCCCAACCCCCCACCCCCCCCCCCCCCCCCCCACCACCACCACCCCCGCCAGCAAAAACTCCCATCCTGGCTCCCTCCTCACCTCTTTGGAATACTTCCTCAGAGTATCTGAGAGGCTGTCTCCCGGGCTATAGTCCTCAGTAAATTCCCAAATAAAACATAACTCGAAGCATTTAGCTTGTGGGATTTTCTTCAGTCAACACAGGTAACATCTCCATTAAAAAGTGAGGAAATTGAGGATCGGAAGGTGACTTGCCCCGGCCGACACAGCTTGGAAGAGGCAGAGCCACGACAGGGCTGTCTGGCCACCGTCACTGTTCTTAATTACTGTATCAGATGGCCTCCTCTGGACGTGCATACGTGCATTTTTCTTTCCTACTGAGCTGATAACCCGTCTAACCTAAGTCAAGAACCACGAAGGTCTTGAAGAGTTAACTGGACTCTGTGAATGTGCTGCCTTACTTTACAGGGGAAAAGCGCATGTTGAACTCCTCTGAAGGTACAGGTTAAGGTTATTAAGTGTGAAACGCAGCACCTCTACTAAGAAGTGTTGCATTAGCACAGGGAAACACATTTATATGAAGCACCAGGATTTACATGGTTTCTGTCCTGGTTAAGCCCTGGCCATGGTGCTGAACATGCCACTCCGGCTGCACCTGGGAGCACAGCCACCCTTAACTTCCTGCCAACTGGCTTGCATCTGTGATGCTCCCCTGCCACGAACGCCTCTCCTCGTGTGGCTTCCGTGCATCCAAATTGGCTCCAGTCTTTACAGCGCAACCTGTGGAGCCTCCTCCACCCACCGTTCCTCCCTCTATCAGTTTAATAAACACTTGCCTGCTGTGGTGATGTGTCAGGCTTCATGTGCCCCGACCCTGGACAGCCAAAACCCAACCCTGCACCCCCAAGAACCTCTTGATCCCCCAGAAGAAAGGCTGTATCAACAAGGAATTGGTATTCAGTGTGACAACTGTGTGTGCGTGGTACCGAGAGCAGGGGGGGGAGGGGCGGGGGGCAGCCGGGGGGGGGGGCGCAGGGAGGCTTCACAGCTCTGGTAACACCATGGCCTTAATTCAGATGACAGATGACCCAGACCTACAATAAGATGGGAGAATTTATGAATGGGAATGAACTTGGGAGAGGTAGGCACTGAGTGCTAGAGCGGATGGGCACCGAGGGGTCTCGGGGGTGGAGCCCAGGAGCAGAGGCGGGAATGCCAGGCTCAGCCCCCTGCAGTGATGGGCGTGTTCCACACGTGGACGCCAGCCCATGTGGTGGGCCCAGTCACAGAGAGCACTCGACCGACCACTTTACCTGTGCCAAGTGTGACTGAGGGACTGAGTTTTCCATTTTATTTCTTTTTAATTAATATTGATTTGAAGAGCAATACGTGGCTAGTGGCTACGGGACTGAACAGTGCAGCTCTTAACATTGCAGACTCGAGATTCTGAGCTGAGGGGTTGTCACCAGACCTGGGAAAAGGATCCCCAAGAGAAAGGGACGCGGACACGCAAATATTTGTTGAATAGATGGACGAACAGGCCAACGGACAGAGTAACAAAGTGGGTGGTCTTAAAGGATTCCTCCCTTTAAAATCCCATCAAGAGGTGCGTGTCCTCGCCATTCGGGTCTTGAGTGATGCCCTCAACATGGCAGCATCCACATGTACTCATGCTGGCTCCAGGTCGCAGCCTCATCCTTAAAACGCTACTGCTACCTTACAATTCCCTGCACTACGAATTCCTTACACTCTGAAGAAAACCAAAGAGAGACAGAGAAAAGGGGGGAAAAGGAAAAACTATATTTCTGAAACCATAATTTAGAAAATAATCATAGATTAAAGATAATCAATGAAGCCAGGATAAATTGCTGTCTAGTAAAATATGTTATTTTCTAAAAACATGAAAGGAAGCAGGGAGGGGAGAGGAGTAGCAGCTTTACCATGAGGTCAGGTAATTTCAAATACATTACAGACCCTTCAGCTCCTAAGCAGTTCAGCTGACATTTGGTCTACACTCTTCTGTACTCTGATGAGAGAAAAGACTGAATTTACTCATGAAATACCTTATTTTGTTCTAGAGAGCATTTTAAAAGGTCAATGATAATAAAGTTTTTCCTAGGAATATGCCCTTTCCTCTTAGTTACCTACAACATCCAAAGTCAACATGAAAGAAAGAACTCTGTGACATGAAAACATTTAAACTGAGAACAGGTTGTGTCTAAGTAACTCACTGGTAATCTGCCAATATTATCCTAATCTGATTGTATTAGGATTTGTTTACTATTTTGGTCCTTGCCATCTCACCTAAGCTTCTGAATTCCAGCTTTCCAGAAATGGGAAGCCGCATACATACAACACACACACGTGGTCCAGGATAGCAGTTTCTGCACTGCATTCCAGGGCCACCTTCTTCACCAGGCTCAGATTCTAAGTTCCTCTCCACCCAGGAGGTCGCGT